CCCTCCCATCTCTTAACAGAGCTCAATTGAGCAAATCCAGACCTTAGTATAAATTGAAATTAGTTTAGATGGTGTGGTAAAACCAGGCTACTGAGTCTGAGCCACATCAACACTATTATTATCAATTGTCCATTGGCCCCCTCACGGAGTGCTAGAACCTGTATTTATTTAATTAGATTTTTCTGTCCATTCCCAGTTACAAGCAGAGTGTCATGCTTGCTATGGATACCTGTCTCTTGAAAATCAAAATAAAAATAATGTATTGTTTTTTTTTTCTTTATTTAAATGTCTGATTAGTGAATGTATCTGCTGTTTACATTCACTAATCAGACATAAAAAAACAAACATTCTTTTTGTTTTAACTGATACTACATACTCATTCTGCATTTTAAATTTTAGTACATGTATTAGGGCTGTCAAAGGATTAACATTTTTTAGTTGATTAATCGCATAGTAATGGTGAGTTAACTCACGATTAATCGCATTTTTTACATTCTATTTCAAATCCACTCCAATTGAAGTTAAATAAGATTATCAAATGTAATGACACATTGTCATTCATACTAGGGGTGGGAACCTAAGGGTACCTCACGATACGGTACGATACACAATACAAAGCTCACGATAACGATATTATCACGATACAAAGCTCACGATAACGATTTTATCACGATATGACGATTATCGATATATTGGTCAGAAATATACAATATGCCAATTTATGGCATAAATAAAAGAAAAAATACACTTTATTTAATGATAAATGGAATGGAGATGAAAAATGCCCTGGCTGGGACCCTGTCCTGAAGCCACCTGTGCCATTCCCTTAGTGATAACACAAAGAAAAAAAATCCGTGGTTTATACAAAGCACAATGTGTCTATCCAACTGTCTGTGAAACTGTATGTTATTGCTCTCTGCTGTTTATTCTACTGTTTGTCGCATGGCGCCGTAAAGATGGCGCCGTGGCAAGAGCTCTGGTGTGTGTCGTCTTCTCTGTCTGGTGCACACCGGGGTAGTCTTGCACAGTTTTTCCTATGTGGTTTCACTGCAAATGGCAAATAAATGAATCTGAATACAATACAGAAAGACATCTGGAGTTTCATTTCATTTCATTTTCAACCCCTTTGTCCATTTCTGGGTCGGGGGGGGGTGGCAATGAGAGCTGCCACCCAACGCTCATAGCACCAGTCCCTCGCTGATCTTCTGCAGGGGGTGAGTCCTCAGGAAGATGGCTGCTCTGTCAACTGTGAAACAGCCTTGATCTTTCAGCGGGGGGCTTCAGGCAACGTGGGGGTAAGTGTCTTGCCCAAGGACACAATGACAGCAGTTATCAGTGGGAGCAGTTGGAGTAGGTCCATCTGGAGTTAATCATTCTAATCTGAATCTTGTTCCATGTAAGAATCAGCCGACCACAACCGCTGATACTGAAACTTTGAAACTTGCTACACTTAATATCAGATCTCTTTGTAACAAGTCTTTTTTAATCAATAATTTTATTTGTTCTCATAATCTTGATCTTATGTTCATGGCTGAAACATGGCTTGACCAAAATACAGGAAATGCAGTTTTAATAGAAGCATCACCACCAAATTTCAAATTTGAATCGGAAATACGGGAAAACAAAAAAGGAGGAGGCTTAGCTGCCATTTTTAGAGACCACTTTGTCTCCCATAGAATGTCTCTTGGGAAGTTTTCATCATTTGAATATGTGTCTTTTAAAATACAACAAAAACAATCTCCTCCAATACTCTTCATTCCCCTATACAAGCCACCGCAGTCATGTCACAATTTTATTGATAATTTTACCGAGTTGCTTTCAGTTGTATGCACAGACTTTGATAGTTTAGTTATTACAGGTGATTTTAATATTCATGTGGATAATGTTAATGACAGAAATGCAAAAGAGCTGAGTTCTGTTCTTGAATCCTTTGGTCTCACTCAGCATGTGAGTGGCCCCACCCACAGCAGAGGGCACACTCTAGACCTGTTAGTTACTAAGGGGGTTAATATTTCAAATGTTAAGGTGGTCGATGTTGCTCTTTCATTCAAAATGCAGCAGCTCGAGTCCTGACTAGAACCAGGAAGTACGACCACATTTGTCCAGTTCTCAGGTCTCTGCACCGGCTTCCTGTGGCTCAGAGAATAGATTTTAATGGACAACTCACCCTCAAATCCACTTTTGTTTTGCTGATAAATGGTATAAAAGAGTGTCCAATAGTGTTGTCTACATATCCTGGTCATAATTTTGTCACTTCGGTGAAAATTAGTTGAAAGTTAAACTTTCTGCCTAAAACCGTCTGTGAGGCGCCATCTGTTGGCGACCTGTATTACTACATTTGAATTTTGAATCTGGCGCCAACACTGGCGCGGCAGCAAGACCTGACGTCTGAAGCAAGACCTGACGTCAGCAGCCCCCCGCCCAGAGCTATATAAAAAGCCCAGTCTCGTTCACGCCCCCTTTAGTCCTCCAGGCTACGCCCATTTAGAGGAAGATTTGAACAGGAAATGTGAGTGACGTAAGCTCCGAGGAGCGGGGGTGAGAACCACTTTAAAACAGCTCTGCTTGTGTACAAGTCTCTCCATGGCCTCGCACCAAAATATATTAGTGACATGTTAGTCCCATATGAACCAGCCCGGACTCTGAGGAGCACAGGGACTGGACTCCTGTTAGTGCCCAGAGTCAGAACTAAACATGGGGAGGCAGCTTTTCAGATTCATGCTGCTAAAATATGGAACAGTCTTCCTGAAGATGTGAGACAGGCCTCCTCGCTGACAGTGTTTAAAACCAGGTTAAAAGCAGTTCTATTTAGCTGTGCATACAACTGAGGGATTTATATATATTTGTATCTTTCTTTTTAATGTTCTGTGATTATTTATGGATTTTAATGCTTTCTCATTTTGTTCAGCACTTTGAATTGCCTTGTGTATGAATTGTGCTATATAAATAAACTTGCCTTGCCTTGCCTTGCCTAATGTAGCCATATGTTATATACGATATTGATACTTGGCAAATGCATATCGATAATCGAATCGTGGGAGAAAGTATCGCAATATATCAATATATCGTCACACCCCTAATTCATACCAAATGTACATAAATCTGTTTAATTTGCTCACAACTTTTTACTTTTGGGCACAACCAACATGAGTTGTTAATGAAAGGGAAAATGCACATTTAGTGAGTTTAGTTGCGCTTCAGAAAGAGACACTTCCTGAGGCTCCATAGTTCAGCTTCAGAGGTGTATTTGCGACCGCAGGTTACGCAGACACGCACACAACATGCAGAGAATAGTTCTGTGCGTGTATGGTCTTGGATCACGTTACCACGGCGCCCTTTGCCGTGTTGTTGTTAGCGGCTGTGAGCCGCTGGAGGAAGGAACCTCTGTCCAGAGTAGCCGCAGCTGCCCCGGGTCAGAACACTGCTGCCAGTTCATAGCAAACAACAGCAAGTACCCTGCGGTCACGCGCATATTCTTTAAAGACTTGAATTCCCAGAGGGCCTACCCGCTCTGTCGCCATCTCACACACGTATGTGTCCGCGGCATTCTGAGTGATATTATGGGATACATGGGCGGGTCATTCGGACACGGGTAAAACATGTTATTTTTTTTATTAACTCTCTCGGCACGGTGGCTGAGTGGATAGCACTCTTGCCTCTCAGCAAGAAGGTCCTGGGTTCGAATCCCGGTCGGCCTTTCTTTGCATGTTCTCCCCGTGTCTGCGTAGGTTTCCTCCGGGTACTCCGGTTTCCCCTACCACTAAAAATATGTACAATAGGTCTGGCATGCGCCTCCTATACTGGCGACCCCGCTCTCCCCGTGGAGGGAGAGGACAAATGCCCAAAAAGAACAATTGTAAACCGCTTTGAGACTCCGATGTGCAGTGAAAAGGCGGTATATAAATAAAGATTACTACTACTACTACTCTCTGTCCCAAAGACGTCACTCTCACCGGTTGTTTTTCATTTATAAATGTTGTTTTCTGGATTATAAATTATTTAAAGCAATATTTAACCCCTTTCAATTCCTCTCATGACCTTCATCACGAACCAGCTTTTCTTTCACACTCCCAGGGTTAAAAAAGAACTTGGCAAATATGCTTTTCAATATAAAGCTCCAAACGACTCTATTCCCTCTTAACCTCTCTTCCGCTTTTTAAAGCTGCTGTATTAAGGCATCGGTGTAATGTCTGTAACTGGTATACTGAACTTTCTTATAAACACTATATCCTTTGATCAGTGGCGTTCCAAGGGTACCCCGGGGCCCCAGGCAAAAGAGTCCTTGGGGGCCCCGATACCGACCATATAACTACATAAAAAGGTTAATACTGCAGTAGATATAAATATATTATTTATTTTGCATCATAAAGTTGAAACAGAATTGCCAAAATACTAACAACAACAAAGATCAGCAGAACAACAAAATTATGAAAACATAATTAACAACTAAACAATAAAGCTTATAGGTTGAGAACCTATAAGCTTTGCTTATAGGTTCTCAACTCTGTGACAATACTTCTTTGTAGAACTTGCATATTATAGCAATAATCCTGTGGATTACTGCTTTCCAGTGCTGCTCCTCAAGGTGCAATAGATCCTGGTTTATTTGATCTAGAGCAGATTTTGTTTTTAACCTTATCTGGAGCTCATGCCAACTTTTCATGTTATTTATATGGGGTTTGGAATATTCATGCTCTTTTAAATGTGCAACAAGGTTTTTCCAGTTTTTAAACCCTCCTTTAATTAGAGCATTATTGTCCTTTTTGCCAAATATTTTGCAAGCAAAGCAAAACACTGAATCGGTCGATTTTGAATATACTAGCCATGTTCGCTTTATTTTTTCACCATTTCTCATGACCATGTAATAATTTTCCTTTGTGAATCTCCAAGGATTTTGTTCATTGCTTTGAGGAAAAACAATATCCGTCACCTGAAGAGGACCTTTTTTCACCAGGGAACTCTTTTCACCATCATTAAGAACATCAGGCCACTGTCCAGGATCAGAAGATGTCAATCTTATTGGTGTTGCTTTTTCTTGGTCTGTGGATGCCGTTTGAGCTGAAACCAATTAAAAAACACATGAATTCTCAAAAGAAAAACACAATAACCATAAATAATCCTGATGTGATATCATTACTTGAACAAACACTGTTTAACAAACATGTTTAGTCTCTTTTTACAGCCTTTACAATTACAATTGTTGCTAAAGATGGCTTGTAAATATGTCCATATTAACATTACTATTTATGTATTTTTAATTTACACATCTTCAAAATACAAACCAACTTAGATGTTGATTTATTTTCAAGTATACCTCTTATATTTGTTTGAAATTATAGATATGGTAGATACTACAAAAGGCCATAGTGTGTAAAATTCAAGCATTTTTTTAAACTAAATATATTATTGCACTAATATCATACCTGGAGTGGGTGCTTGTGGTTCTGTTTGGTCCTCTTGGTCAATGGAGGTAGGCGACGAAATGTTGACAATTGCAGTATGGGATATAGCTGACTGCTGCTCACTGGAGGAAGCGCTGCTGTCCAGGGCTGTAGAGCTTGAGGGGGCAGTGAACCTTGGCGTGGCAGTACTTGGGGCTGTAGTAGTGTGTGTAGCGGCAGACTGAGCTTGAAGATAAAGAGAAATCAAACATGGCATTAACCTTAATATCTATTAATTGTTTACATTAACATTAAAATGTAGAAAATTTCTTATTTCTAACAATAAATGTACAAGCCTGGGGCCTGCCTGGCATACTGCACAGTCTACCATAGAAAATTAGTATTTTAAAAAGTATTTGGTGACGAAAAGCAATGAGAAATAAATTAGCATGTCTTTTTATAAACTTGTTCACTACACTCATCATGTTATAATTAATTACAAACACTACCTGCTATCAAAGTGTATTAATCCTTCAAAACGCTAACAATAGCATGCTAAATGTTTCTGTGATGTGATCCGCAAACAAACAAGTTAGTTCCAAGAGCGTCATGTAGACTAGATGAACTGACAGTCACTCACCGCTATCATGCTTTCTTTTCTCGTCTTCCTCTTTTTTGCGCTTTCGTTTATCGCTTCCAGAAGGATAACTTCTCTTCATTTGGTCGGACAACTTTGTTTTGCTTTGGGAGAAATAGCACGCTGCCTGCACGCTCCGCTCACCTCACCTCTGTCACTGACACATGTGGGGGGAGGGGCGAGAGGAGCGGGGCCCTATCAGGGGATTTGAGACGGGCGGTCAAATTGCAACTCGTCACTGCAGGTACCTGTTGTGGCCTGTACAAGTCGACCGCTTGTGTCAAATCAGTCGGCCCTCAGGGGCCCCTGCCGGTTTGGGGGCCCCAGGCAGCTGCCTGCCTTGCCTGTTGGCACGGGACGCCTCTGCCTTTGATCTTCATTGTCCTAGTTTGAGGAGTAGGGTGACCTCTGACCTCTGAGAGCTCTGTGTGTGTGTGAATGTGAATGTTTCTGTCCTTGTATTTGCGTTTGTTTTGTCTGTCGTTTTATTGAATTTATTTACTGGAACTTATTTATTTGCAACATTTATTTGACAACCACTGCTGCTAATTGTGTTTTTATTTTTGAGGACCATCTTGAAAACGAGATGATGCATCTCAAGGGGCTATTCCTCGTAATATATGTCAAACATTAACGCATTAACGAAAAATGTAATTCACGTGATAATTTTGACAGCCCTAATCATAATTATTGTATTACACAAAATCTGCTTAAGTGATTTTCATATTACAGAAATCAAGTATCATAGTTATTGTTCTAAAGCTAAAAATAAAATCATGACCATACATATTTTATGTATAGTAATGATTTTAACATAATTCAAATAAAAACTGTAATATATTGTAATAATTTTAAAATAAGGGCCTATATTGTGTTATTTAAGAAAAGAAGGATTCATGGGACTCAAAGTGCCCTGGATCATTCAATTCTGCTTTCTTGATACATTTGTGTGGACAACAAACTCAGTTTTCAATTTTAAATGTATTCCCTATTTTCATTCAGTATAAACTGAAAATGCCTTTGTATAAAATAGCTCTATTTACAAGCAAATATGAAGAGCTCCTTGGTGGTAGTTGAACCTGTGGACCTTAGAAGTTCATACTGGGAAGTTCACGGAGAGTGATTTCATTGTTTGAAGTGAGTGGGTGTGCAGCACATTTTCCCCGGTCCAGTGAGGCCGGATTCTCCGTGTAACATTGTACAATACGTGAGGCGTAAAAAACATTAACCAATGCGCTTGGATTTAAAACCACGGCCTGGCCAACATGTTTATTATTAGCCAGCTTTCTCAGGCGTGCTGTCCTCATAAAGTTTTCATTTTTATACATTTAACAGAAGTTTGAAATGACAAAAGCATTTATTATTAATGGACAGAGGCTTCTGGATTTGCATACACCAGCCATTCCCAAACTCAGTAACACCGAGGCCCCCTTAAAAATCTGACGGGTCTGCGTGGCCCCCCAAAATAATAACCAAGAAGACAACATTAAGAACAGGCTCTTCTGGTTATTTTATTTTGGGGAAATAGCCTCATGCTACAAACATTGAAATACAAAAATGATTACAGTGGATTATTCAAGTCAAATAATGAACACAAATATTTTAATATTACAAACAAAACATTATAAATTTAACATTAAATAATTATATTATTTTTTTATTTTTTTTATGACCTCCCGCGGCCCCCCTGCAGTACCCTCGCGGCCCACCAGGGGGCCGCGGACCCCACTTTGGGAGACACTGGCATACACCATTGAACCTCATCTTAGTCTGTGTTGTTGAATGCATTCTGTGTTTCTATGATGGTCTTCATGCTCTTATTTCCTCCTTTTTTGTCCAAAAACCCAGAGTCCGTATACACTGAGCCAATAGATTTACATTTTAATGTTTATTTTCTGGACCTTTATTTCAACGTTTACACCTTTTTAAATGTGTTTTGTATGACTCCTTGCATTTGATGCGCATAATTTATCTACAGTACATCATGAAACTTGTAATTAATATGACATGTCGACCCCTAATATCAAATAAAGCCTAACTTATTCCCAATCGTCCCTTTTCTTCTTTGGCATTTAAAATCCAGCTAAGGCTGACCTGAAGTCTCCTATTTCCAAAAACTACTTGAGCTAATTGGTTGCAAAGTACATCTTGGTTCTTCCTAATGTACAGAAACGCTCACACACACACACACACACAAACTCACACACAAACACATGTGCCCACACACACACACACACACACACACACACACACACACACACACACACACACACACAATTAGACCCCTGTTCCCTTTGAGTGCCTCCTCTTTAAGCACCTCATCCATTACTACAGTGGAAGGATCGTACCTTGTGGTTAGCAGATCTTACCTTGTGTCTCAATCTATTTCTCAATATTCAATCTTTTGGACCAGTGATTATCATTACCAGTAAATCACACAAGTTTATCAAGTTGTTGGTAATTTCATATTTATTACGTTTTATCATGACAAAAAACAATAAACAAGACCAGGCAAAAACACACACAAGAGCTAACTTTTCTTTATTTTTCCAACCAACCATTTAAAGTGCATGATGAACAAACACTGCACTAGTGAAATAATTGTAACATGAAGGTAGAATGTATAAATTGAAATAATAGGGTTGGCAAATGATAAGGCATAATATGAAATGAATAATATCATACTTAAACATTTAGACCCTGAAAACATCCCTAACACAATGTACTTTAGTTGCAAGACAAATTAAAAACATATATAGAATAATCATTACTGACTGGTTTCATACTAAGGTTAAACTTGTTCTGGTCTTGAGGATTTACCATGATCAGGACAAAACCTGATGAATGTGAATTCACCGACATCATGATGAACTCAAACATTGTTTTTGGACTAAAGGGAATGAACAGCCTGTAAGTGCATACGCAGTTAACGGGAATGGATGAATCATGGTGAATTCAAGAAGGAATTATTCTTCGAACCGCGGACCGTAGGTTGGGGACCACTGCTTGGTGCGAGCACACGGCAATGAGTACAGGCCAATGACTTGGACGGGCCCCTCTGCACTTGGTCATCACATATACCAAATACATCACTATAACATTTTGATGTATTGTTAATGGACACATCCAAAACACAAGTGAACTTCTAACATAATATTACAAGTTGTAAATAATGTATTGTATTATAATATAATACGGCAGGAAATTAAAAGAATGAACAGATATAATGAAGATAATGATAGTAATAACTCACTATTGTCATATAGTATCTATATCTGTCAAAAGCATACAATTCCTTCTTTAAAGGTCTATTTTACCATTTTGATGTGGCTACTTTAAGCAAATTCTGTTTGATTTTAAATATGGTAAAAAACGCCCTTAATGTTTTGACCAAATGACAAAATGCAGTCAACGACCAAAATGTCCTCCTCACTTAATTCAGAAACACTAATGCCCTTAACATTCACTGAGAGAGGGGCCCATTTTTAACATTGATTCACTAAAAGGCTAATCGTGTTTAAGCCCAAGTAGAGTGAAGGACAATGTTAATTTTGACCCGTCGGTTCCATTAGAGAAATATCAACACTCTAGTCCTGCCTGACTCACATCAACAGCCAGATTAAGTCTCCATTTAGAATAATCTCCTGCAGACGTTTTATTCAAAGTTAAAAGTGTGACTCAATGTTATTTTTTTTAAATGCCAAATTTAAAAAAAGATCATCCAGGCGTCTGCAGAACGGCTCAATGAACACCACAAATGTCAGTTTTCCAAGGAAAGCCAATGAACAGCATACAAATGCTTTCTGCCACCAAAGTGAGCAGCGACGGATCTGAACTGGGTTATCAACAATGCAAAGAACCATAATAGTATTTAGCAAAGTTTTAATTGAATTCACATTTAATAACACATCTAATAATTCAACATGATATCATATTATAGCTGCTATGTAAGGATTTTACTGTTGTTTTATGAGATATGTTTTAAAAACTTCCTTTCCACACAATACCATACTGTGTGTGAGCTGTGTGTTGCCGAGTGTTTGACCAAAGACACACTTATTCCCAGATGGGCACCAAAGTCACATGTTCGCTGGGGTTACAGTAGCACTCAGCTTCATCATGAATCAGTTTGACTTACAAGCAATATGTACTTGTGTTTTAGGCAGGAGTTTTCCTTTTTTGAATAAGAGTGTTACAATATTTGGTCCACTCTTTATCCTGCAAAACGCCCTCCCCAATAAAATTGTCACAAAATATACTGTAAAGTTGTGTGTCTGTGTGTGTGTGTCTGTATGTGTGTGTTGCTTTATGCCCTTAAACTGGAATTTTAATGTAGCAGTTTCTCTGGTTCATCAGTGGCTCAAAAGCAGCAGCGATGTCACGACCAAAGGGCAAAGCGTAAGTCCCAGCGGCAGAAACAAAAGCTGCCCTCAGCCCCTGGGGTCTGCATTATCGAGAGGAGAGACAGGTTTGTGTTTCAGGGGAATTCAATGACCTTTAGAAAATCCAAAACTAAAATAAAAGAAGCATAGAAGCAGCTGGGCAAGCTGTGTGTGATCGTGCAACAGTAGTAACGCTGAAATGTGCCATTGTGTGATATGAACAATCCTACAACTCTGGTAGTCGACCAAGCCGAGCATTAATGATGGACAAGTGTAATCGGATAAAAGTGCCAGAATCTCCTGTCCATTTGTGAAAATTAGTCACATGAATCCAGAATGATATAAAAGATGTGTTGTTGATTGTAAAGTGAGTTGACAGTTTAGTAGTAATGCCCAGGCGTGTATTCCTCAGACCAACGACATCACATCAATCAATTTATGGGATTTTTTGGCCCAAAATATGTGACATCAGAAAGGATTGTCATCTATGTAGATGTATTTGGCAAGATGATTTCACTTTCAAATTCCATTTGGTATTTTACGCTTTAGAATGTGGAAAATAAAAGGATAAACAGTACCACAACACGTACTGTACTTCTACCACCACAGAAAAAAGCCACACAAATGTAATTGATATATTTCCAAAAATAATTTTTTGGCAAATGTTGAATCAGAAAACGTGTAATAGTGTAAAGATAAA